TGCCTGCAGAAAACAAGACGTGATTCACGGCAATACAGCGGTGACGAGCGGGCAACATGTCGCATGCTTCTTGCAACGTCAGCGCCAACGTTACTAGAACCAAGTCAGTTTCACAGCTCTGCATGCATGCCAGCACAAGCGGCTGACGCGTCATCTAGGCGCTGCTGTTCCATTTTGCTTCACATATCGCGCCATGCGTGTTGCCGCTCAGACAAGACAGCACGTTTTCGGCCCTCGATTGCTTCTTCGCGTCATTATTTAGTGAACAGTTGTCTTTTACGAAAGAGTTCTAACATCTGATAAGGGACGCCAATAAACAATGCCTTATTGTTGTGCGACGGACCACAAAAGCGGCTGCAGAAATCACCATTTCTTTGAACCACCCCAAAATCCTGACGAGTTTAAAAAAGCCATCCGCATATTTCCACGGGAGCGACTCGAGTAAATGAGTCGCAGAGTGTGTGCATGTGTGGTGGGAGAGGGTATCGCGTCAATGTGGCATAATTGTTTGAAAAGGCTTTTTATTACTTCATTGTTATTATTCTTATTTATTGAATGATGAAGAAGTGCGTCCTTCAACGAATGGTGGGACGCTGATGTTGGGTTGTGCCCCACTACTGGTTGAAGGTACTGTTGCTTCCATCGCATCTACTCGAGTCAAGCAAGGCGTAGCCAGAAATTTTTTTTGGAGGGGGGGGGGGGGGGGGGGCACGGGCCTGGTGTGCCACCTCCTGGCTACGCCCTGCATGGACACAAACTGCACTCTGTGTAACAAACCAGAAACGGTCGAACATGCTATGAGTGAGTGCTGAGATCACACATTTTTTTTGGGATGTGGTGCAAACAAAATACCACGAAGAAGAAGGATCTGCCAATAACACCCTGATGGGATATGTTATATTTCAACACAGAATGAGAATGCTGTTCCATATAATGATATTATTACTGGCTCTTTACAGTCTCTGGATAAAAGGCATGACCGTGAGGCATACCGATCCTAAAGCAAAATTGGCACGGGAAACTTTATTAAATGTGTAATATGTGCACAATATATATTAAACGTTGAATGAACCACCAGATTGTATGGACTCTAAACCATCAGAATGGGCGAGTAGACCAATGTTGTTTTTATGAATATGTATTTCTTTATTTCTGAATAAAAAGGTTTTAAAAAGCAGACGCGGGGCTGTGTAGTAGAACACTCGCTTGCCATGCAAACGCCTCGGGTTCAATCGTCACTCAGACCCAAAAATTAAAATTTTTATTTTATTTGCATTTTCTCAATTTTTCGGTCATGCCCAAGATGATTTTTCGCTCATTACCAACGACACTGACGCCGACGCCAGAATTTTTGCGAAACCAGCTCTTTACACTGTCGTGTTAAAAGTCAGAACAGATGCTGCGCCGCAAAGATAGGCGGTGACACACAAGTCCAAGATATGTGAGTGACACAAGATATGTGAGTGACATTTTGAGGCGGACGATATTGTCAAATATCATGAGCACATTATAAATGGAAACCAAATACTTCTACCTCGAGGGAAAATGGCTGCTAGTGCCAAGGGCATTACCTCACCTTTTTCCCGGTCTGAGCCCATCTCGAAGGCATATGTGACGACAAAGAGAAGGAAGATGACAAAAAAAAAAGTGCTAGGGATGAGTTCATGCCAGAAAATGAAATAGCTGTCATGGAGTCGGTCGAGTGGTTCTAGAAGTGCTGGGGATGAGCTCATGCCAGAAAATGGAATAGCTGTCATGGAGTCGGTCGAGTGATTCTAGCGACGGCGCATCTCCGGACATCTAAGACGTCTCTAGTCAGCTACACCGTTCGCGCTCAATGAAGTGATGAACGTCTCTTTGCCGTCCGTGTCTCGAAGCCAACAATTAATCAATGATGCCATGTCAGGAATGGCGTGCGGTGTTTTCTACTGCAGAAATCTCGTGCTTGAAAAACTGCTACTACAAAACACTGTTATTGTTGAACGATATGGCGGCTGCGCTATTAACAACTACAACGAAGTACACAAGCAGTTGTTGCGCACTCTAACCACTATGGCGGCTGCGCTATTAACAACTACAACGAAGTACACAAGCAGTTGTTGCGCACTCTAACCACTGTCGCCCATTTAGAAACTGAATCAAAATAAATAGACAGCCTCAAAATCTGTGGAGGCATACAACCAGCCGAGAATTTCCCCACAACCATTAGTAATGGTTGTGGACACATTCTACTGTTCATCACAAACACCGCACAGAGTTTACAAAGCGGCCCACTAGCTTTCTCTGCCTGTGTCTAAGGAGGCCATCGCGAACCAGAAAACCTGCAAAGGTGGAGAAAACTAGAAAACAAAAGGTTCACAATCTCTCAAAGAGGTTTGCCCGTGCGACTGCCGCAAAAAGAAAGAAAAATGAGGAGATCCTGGCTCTTGAGCGAAACCTTTTCACAGTTTAAAATGAGGTAATTAAAGATGCCCTTGCTGAGCTTCCTCATTTGCTAACGCTGTCATTCATGACATCGATGAATTAACGAGTGTTCAGCAATAACCCAGCTAAAGTATTCGAGAAAGATGGCTAATACATTAGCGATTTCTCGCACGAGTGATGGCATGATAAGAGAGATTTATAATTACCCTCACGAAAGAATTCGCTCGCGAGAAAAATGGCTAATAACTACGCATTCCGAAAAAGTTGCCACTTCGAGCAAACTGGATTTGTAAATAGTGTTCTCATTATAGTGCAGTGGCCTTTCAGTTGGAAAATTTTACAGGCCGACGAACACTAGAAAAAACATAAAAAATGCCCACTCGATTAGAAAAATAAGCTGCACTTGAGACGAGTCACCAGAATAGAAGGTTGATCGCAGAATAACAACTCGTCTTGTGTACTTCCATTCTGGCGTCTCGTGTTTAGCGCAGCTTATTTTTTAAATGTCTTACGAACTAGCACCCAACACAAGCTTCTAAGACCCAGACGATTCCGCCAGAAACAGCATTCCGAGGACTGTGGCTAAATAAATAAAGAAAAGAAATAAATAATAGGTTTCCCGATTGGAAAGGCTCCTAAATATTATTGGTGATTACAGAGTAAATGTCCTACAAATTTTAGTTTTTGAACCAGCTGAGTTTACTGCGGAAGTGTCGATGGCGAATCTCGACTCTCACGATAAGCAAGAACTGCGACGGCAGCGTGCGCGGCTTGAAGCAAAATGGCACAGCAGCGCCACTATTTCTTGCGTCGGCCACCGCGACCACTTCAGAGAGCGGGCGCCTATGGGGTGCTGCAAAACTGACCTGGTTTTAGTAACGCTGGTCAATGCATCATGATTTACCAATTCTTTCTGGGTACATTAAGAAACGAATTGAGGACAGTCTCACGGAATTCACGATGTAGGCGATCCTCTGAATGCCGGATGCTCCAGCAATTTGTGCACTTGCACTGCTGACGAGGTTCTTACCTGCTACGCCTACTTCGGAAACTTAATAAAAAAGCTTTAATGATCATGTTTTCCAGCCAAAACATCCCGAATTTCATCTCACTGTTCAGCATTAAATTCTTTATTTTACTAGAAAGAATGGGCGTATGGTCGCATCATGACATGCTGATGCAACAAGGAGCAGGCAGCATGCTGCCTGCGTGTCACTACTGTGTTGCAGTGAAGATATCCTATTTTTCACAGGCACGCATTTTAGTTGATAACTAGTTTTTGTTTGTTAGCGATTTCAGCAGCCAGGCTCAGTGTTCTCCCCCCTCCCCTTTTTTTGTGGGCAAACTGTGGCTTTGTATTGCTGAAAAACATAACCCTTGGAGCCACAAACTAGCCAGCACAGCAAACAACCAGTCCTGATTATACTTTGAATAGTTCTTTGAATAGTTCTTATACATTGAAAAGTTATTTGCATCCCATTTTTTGTAAGTTCTGTACAATTACTGCACGCATGGCCACTGTGAAGAGTGTCAGTGCAGTGTTCAACTGTAAATGTGGTTGCCAGCTCTCTGGTTTCACAAAACTAGTATTTCAAAATTTTTTTAATTGTCTCTGTACTGCCCTCCAGCAGAGATTTCTTGCGGTATCTAGTACATAAAGATAGAGGAAATTGGTGACTTCACTTTGCATAATAGGTCTGATTTCAATATAATGAAGTTTTGGGATAACGAAGTAAATTCACACTGGTATTACTGGCCATGTTACATTATTACTGATGATTCGTGACTCTCATGACAGTGAGTCTTGCATGTTGCTGTCATGACGGCAATTCCACGAAGTGCAGATGCTGCACACAGTGGCTTTTGTTAGTGCTTTCTCAACCTAAAATTAGCTGAGCTCGCCTACATGGTTTGTACTGCTCCCACCGAAAATAATCTGGCCTCGTCCACACTCAAAAATTTGGGGTCACTGCAGTACATATTCTCTGCATCATCAAATTTGGGTGACAACCACGCCTTAACGTATCAGCAGTCATCAACGACAGATGTAAACAAATTCCAGACAATGCGTCTCTGTTTCCCCCTTCCACAAAGGCTCACGTGTCCCTGCGCTTTATCATTTAGGTTTCAAGAGACAATTTTGTCCCTCGCAATAGTGCACCTTCAAATAGCTTTTGAGTTGTTTCAAGGCAAGCAGAAATATGAAGGGCTTTAAAAAAATGATATTTCTGTAATCTCCAGGTGAAGGGTTTAATTCAAACTGTAACTCAGCTGGCTATTCGTACATAAAACGAAATAGCTACGACACACTAAGTGAAAACTATGCTGCCACCTCTACTGGCTAGAAGACTGAGTGATCGAGTTGTGTTTGAGTGCATAAAAGATTTTACAGGAATGTCCAGCCATTTTCATTGCAAGCAGCATAATCATCAGCTCAAATCTACATGCTGCACTGATCGCAATGCTCGTACCTAGTCAAAGGGTCTTTACGTGAAGAGAGAAAAGCAACAGATAAAAATTGCTCTAATATAATAAATAAGCATATAATTAAAGAACAAAGACAAGTAAGACTGTACCCGTTCCTTGACAAGTTGCGACCATTTCGGGTCAACATCGAACATGGGGTTTTTCTCTAACCACTCGGCAAGGTGCTTCAGAGGAGGTGCCTTGCTTCCAGTGATCTGAAAAAAAAAAAAAAAGATCACGCTCAATGTAAAGCCTTAAGGTGTGCCACACAATGCACACCAAAAAGACACTAATGTGCAAAATAATTTTTTTTGCATAAGTAAATCATAAAGAAATACATATTGAAAAGCAGTTAGAGCTGTGTTTCAATATTGATGAGTTTTTAATTAAAAAACCTCGTGCAAGAGTGTGACGAGAGCACCAAGAAGTCTCCCTGCATTGATTATCTTAGTCGAAATTGTGCGTGTGGTACAGCAAGAGTAGGGCTGTCGTAAGCATACTGCATGCTTCTATTTTCCGTAAACCATTTGGAAACCACAATCTTCGCTGTTTAGCCAATGTTTTCTTGTTTTAGTATATTACGACATGAATTAATAAAGTAAAGCCATAAAATATTGTATGCACCAACCCAATCATTTTCATGCATATGTGTCGTAACAGTGCTATGTTAGTTTTCAAGATACAAAACGCAAAGGTTAACAGTCCAATAAGGCAGCACTCAAACTCATCAGTAGAACAGTCTATAAATAAATGACACAAAACATGCTTCACACCACTCTGCTGCCACCTTCTTGTGCAGAGCATCGTGGACAATTGTAACACGTCATATGCACAAAGCTACTTATCAGTACATTGAATCAAATGTACTCACCTCACTAGTGCACAGTATGGTAGTTAACGGTACGCACACTGTCAAGGCAAACACAATAATGGTGTCATTCATTGGCAGATTCAGAGCACTTCTGGTAGCACTCCATCAAAAGTAAGTTTGTTTCATTGGCAGATTAAGAGTGCTCTTTATATGTTCTGTTCGCAGATCCCGAGCAGTTCTGTCGCAAGATCTACGAACTAACTATTTCTACTCCGCGAAAAGCGGCAAATTCGACCGGAAGTTGCAAGCTCACCGAGCCCTTAAACAGCGCCAACTGGTCCTGCCTAGCACTCGCACTTTGCTAGTGTAGCACTGCTGTGCTCAGCGTGCCCAATTATTATAGAAGAGAGATGTGTGCGTCGCATTCATCTGACCCTGTCATTTACTCCAGCGAGAGCAGATGTGTTGCATTGGTAGATTCCTTTCGGTTGCGAGTTCTCTAGTGTAGAGTTTGTCGGCCACTTCGAATCTGCCAATGGTTGACACCACAAAAGACCAGAAGCAGCAGCATCGACATGAAAACTGTAGCAACTGAAGGACCCCCCCCCCTTTTTTTTGCGGCAAAACTGTGGCTTTGCATTGCTTTCTATTTTACGCAGAACAAAAAAACCTGAGAATCAAACCCGCTCTGCATGCTCCTAATTAGTTTTCGCTAAGCGACAGTGCCACAATACAAAACCTAGCGAGTAGAAGCAGCCCACTTGGGGCAAAGTAGCACATTTCATGAGGCAGTCACGCACATTAACAGCAGCCCTGAGGAGATTATGTCAGCACTATGAAAGCTTTCTTCATAAAGGCGCATAAAAACATGCTTGCGCAGGTCTAAGTGTTATGCAAACGTCTCATTTTTTGGTCTACCTGGCACTGCTCGGAAAATCATGTCGAATCAGCTTTTCAGTGATGCCACCGAGGTCTTCCGATATAGAGCAATTTTTCCAACAGCAAAATTTTCATTTTGAGCACTTTTGAAGCAGCAAAATTTTTCAGTTGGGGCACTTTGGAGCAGCAAAATCTTCCATTTTGGAGCAATCTAGAGCAGCAAAATTTTCCATTTTGGAGCAATATAGAGCAGCTAATTTCAAATCCAACAGGAGAAGCAAGTTGCACTAACATTCAACGACATGAAAATTTATTCTGAGGCTCTTGTGAAGAGCTAGTAATATTTAGATTCATTGCAAATATTATGGAGCCAATCATCGTAGGAGCACTCCCTATTTCAGTTGATGATACAAGAATAATGGCGTCATGATGTTAAGCATTCTGGAAAAACTTGTTCAGTGATTATTTCCGTAGCAAATAAACAGAATACTGGTTGAATAAAACTATACCTCATGAAATAACACCTATGTGGTTATCAGCACATATGGTAGACAAACTCTGTGAAATAAAACGCTAGAAACTCACACAGTCCCAAGTGCATTTTCCTAAGATGATTTCAGGAATTAAAGAAAGGTTCTTTTTCTTCACGACTGATTAGACTGTTGGGCGTAATATGACGTCATTCAGCTAGCCTCAGAAAGCAAACCTCCCCCGGAACTCATCTCTGTGCTGAAACTACACAATTTAACAAACTTCATTTCCCTTTTGCAGCAATATTTTACGTGACTAGGGCGTTTTGTACATACTCCAAAAACCCCCTATGGTGTCCCCTAAAAAGCAGTGCTTAAAAAAAAATCTCACAGGGTACCTTATGCATACGCCTAAGACAACAGGAAGGCAAGATCCATTTTGTTTTTGATGGGATAGCAATAATATGGATACTTTCGACTAATTTTTGTCGTTGCCATGGGTGTACCCAGAAATTTTAATTAAAAAATTGAGGGAGGGGTGGTTGCACCTTTATCTGAAGGAGGGAGGGGGGGGGGGGGGCAGGCAAAAGATCATTTCGCGCTATATATGCCTTGGCGAAAAAAAAAAAAAAATCGGAAGTGGGGAGTGGCATGTTTCCGATGTGCCCCCCCCCCCCCCCTAGCCGTCATGTTTTGTGTAATGTCCCAATCAAAAACATCCCCTAGCGCATCGTATCTTACACGCGGGTTAGAGCATGTGAGCCGAGGTGACGAACGCGGCTAAAGCAGAGATAAGAAGAGCCAACCTATCTCCTTTGCCCTCAGGGCATATGTGGTAACACCACCCCGCATGCCAGGCCTCCTATCGAGTGTTACTCAAGCATACTCAAGCAGAGTAGAACGCGCCGCCTGTGTCCAAAAAACAGGAAGGAGCTAGAAACGCGAGGGGGAGGGGGGCGCTGTTATGAACTATGATTTTAAGGGTGTGATTGTTAGCTACAAGCTACTGTTGATGCTTACATTACAGCAAAAGGGTCTAACACGCAGTATGACCACGTTTGGTAGCATTACGGCTTCTCTTTTTACATATTTCAGAAAACAGCTGAAGCGGTCCGCTGGGCACTCTAGACAGGTCTGATTCCATCTGTATGTACATCGGCGAACATAAGATGTTTCGGGCATCCCTAGTCACCGAAGTGGCAGATATCGAACATAGCGAGTGCAGCAAGTTTTTTGCGAGTGTGCGGACCTTGGAAATTGCAACCCTGTGCTAGCGCTTCTACCAAATGGCGTCAAGCCTTATTATTTGGTATAACGATACAATTCATTGGTATCACATTCATTGCTAAGAGCACAAGTGAAACTAACAAATTGTATCTTTTTGATTCGATACTGCCGATATTGCGTACCGTAATTACTCGAATCTAAGCGAGTTCATAAATCGCATGCGCGTTAGAATCGAGTACGAACAAAAAAATTACACCCAATCTATTGCCATCGGCAAATCTAAAATGGCCGCCCCCTATGTGCGTCGGCATGGCGCGTCGTCCATTTCTGCCTATGTGTTTCTCATGTGCGGCACTTCGTACGTGTGCTGAGGAGTTCGTCATCTAGTAGTGCATTAGCATCGACGGCGTGGAATGGCCGACTCCAAAAACTCGAGTGCACCACGATGCCGCTTTTAAAAGAAAAGTCATCGCGTGTGCAGAAACGGACGGAAATCGGGCCGCATCGCGGTCGTTCGGAGTTCCCGAAACGTGCGTGCGGGACCGGCGGAAACAAAAGCAGAAGATTTTCGACAGCAAAGCTTTACGCAAAGGCTTCAGTGGACCACAGCAGGGTCGGTTTCCGCAAATTAAAGAGCTGCTCGGCGAGTATGTGCTTTAGCAGCGAGCAGCACAGCGGCCCGTGACGGCAGAACTGCTCCAAGTGCGGGCTATGCAATTAGTCTTAGAAAAAGGTCTAATGCGGAGCCAGTTTAAAGTGAGGAGGTGCTGGCTAACTAACTTTATGAAGAGGAAAGGCTTTTCCCTCCGAAGGGGAACATGCATATGCGAAAAGTTTTGCGGAGGTGTACGATGAAAAGCTTCACAGTTTTCAGAGGTTCGTCCTAAACTTGCGGTGAAACAACGGCTACCTGCTTGGGCAAATCGGGAATGCCGATCAGACGCCTCTTTACTTCGACATGCCTGGCACCACAACCGTCGAGAAGAAGGGGGCGAAGCAAGTTCGCGTGCTGACATCGGTCCACGGTAAAACTACAGTGACGGCAATGCTCTGTTACACGTCAGATGGGCACAAGCTTCGCCCGTACCTCATATTTAAATGGAAGACGCTCCCGAAAGGAGTCGTTTTTTCGAGTGGTGTGATCATGCGGGCCAGCGAGAAAAAATGGGTGCGCGTTGCAATCGATGTCTTAGGTTTTTTTTTTTTTTCGCAGTGGAAATCGGGTGCGCGTTAAAATCGAGGGCGCGGTAGAATCGAGTAAATACGGTAACTCAAGAACGCTGGCCAAAGGGACAATGATGACTCTAGCTGCTGAAAGCTTTCGTGCTGTCAGCTATCTAAACGTGAAGCAGAGGTTAACAGCACAAAAAGTTCATGAGCAGTCTTATTATGCCTCACGACAGCGCGCCAGCTACTTCAAGCGACGCAGCAGCCTCCCCTCCATCCATCCATTTAAAACGAAGCAATAAATGCCATGCCGTGATGTTCTACTTTTTTTAACCGTCGCCTATTAACCCTGGAAAGCGAGGCGCAGACGTGTAGCAAGGCCATCGATGCCACAGAGCTCTTCTGATTTGGAGTAGTTTTTGGAGCAGAAAAAATTTCATTTTGGAGCACTTTGGAGCAGCAAAATTTTCTATATTGGAGTAATATTAGATCACTTTGGAGCAGCAAAATGTTCCATATTAGAGCAATATAGAGCAGCTAACTTCAAATCCTGGAGGAGAAGGAAGTTGCATTTACATACAAGGAGATGAAAAATTATTCTGAAGCTCTTGTGAAGAGCTAGAAATATTTAGATTCATTGCAAATTTCATGGAGGCAACTA